ATTCTTGAGGTCCCTGGACAGTGCAAGTTTAATTCACCCACACTAACGCCCACAAATCACGAAAAACTAAAATCGCTGAAATCACAGGAAATATTAGAGGTAGAAAGCTGAAATTCAGTATGTATAATATTGGATGCCAGCGTATCTTATAGTGGTACTATTATCCGGCTACACCCACCCATACTCCCATTTAGCTCAAAAGACGGTTTTCGCATTTTTAATAAAACATGATATCTCGGTAACTATAAGTGATAGAAAGTTCGGATTAAGCCATGCCCAATCTAACATAACAACACAAAAAACCCGAAAAACCAAAAATGAGAAAATCTCGGGAACTATAAGAACTAGAAGGTTGTGCTTAAAAATACGTATACGTACCTATTCTGTCTCCTCTTGTTTGCACTAAAAATTATGGCATCGCAACTTTGATTTTGTATTAAAATTTCTCAGTTTGAATTTTTGGAACAACAATTAAATAAAAATTATGGATATATTTTAACCGATTTTTTAAAAATTAAAAAAATATTATTTTAAGACCTTTACTAAATCGAAATCCATTTTGAAAGTCTAGGAAACTGGTGGGAAAAAAATTAGCTTTATGGGAAATTATATCAAATCATATTTATATAACCGTGTCCTTACCACCACCTGTCTGGGTATAAGGTGGGAACTGTGTTTCCAACTCAATTATTATGAAATTGGGTTATATTTTCCAAGTACAAATATTCAGTGTGAGATGGAGAAAATCAGTGCAATCCCACTTTAAACATATTTCTGATATCCAGTTCTTATCTAGGGAATTTAAAATTATTTGATTTAGAAGACCTTTATGTATGCCTGATTGACCACGATTGTGTGGAGCCTTTTGTTTGCTTCCAATTATAAGTAAAATTAAAATCTTTTTGGAAAAGAAACAAATTTACACAGCTTTTGGGTTGCTCCTTAGTTGTTAAGGGTTTCAAAAACACTTCGAATAATTGAGTGCTGCAATCGCCACTCACCGAGCAACTGAACAGGAGTAGTATCACATCTTTATTACGATGCTAATTTGTCGAGCCGCAGCGCTTTATGCATCGAAAAGCACTGAAGTGCTACTTCTGCCCACAACACAACTCGTATTTCAACCTGCTTTTGTAGATCCTTTGGAAGTTGCTGTTGTCTCCATTGTTATTGTGGAGGAACAAGCAGCTAGTGAGGAAGAGACAAATCAGTCTTTGTTATTATGATTGTATATTGTGTAATAATAAAAATGTTTTCACTCCACGTGGCGATCTACGGCAACATGCCCAGGAAGCTGCCGGACAATACCGCTACAGCTGTACGCAGCTGTTGTCCCATCCAGCTTATTGTAATTGTTGTCCAACGAACTTTTCCACTTCCCTTATCCGCGTTCTAGTACTTTTGCGCTGAAGTCGGAGTAGTAGTCGGAGCTGGACTTTGTTGGCGGATACTTGGTTACTTCGCTGCTTTTGTTTTTCCAAGAAGCACCTGTCTGGACCAGAAGAAGAGGAGTTCTGCGAGAACCCTTTTAGCTTTCTGTACTTTTTTGTTGACGCCACGTTCTCCTTATTATATTTGCATTTTACTCCACTTCCTTCCCTCTGCCCTTCTGCACCCATCATCATTTCATTTCTTCATATAAATAATACGATTTCCAATATACATCTTATACATGCAAAGTCCACTTACTGTACTCCAAAAAATTTGTAACTCCAAATGAAAACAAGAAGAAACTCTATAGTCGAGTGCCGCGACTATAAGATACCCGTTACTGTTTTATGCACTCTTAAAATATTCATTGTGCTAGAGGAAAATCCCAAAGCGCCACCTTTTGTCGGAGAAAGTATGTTGAGTAACTGATAGTGATGTCATTGCCCATGTCAGGCCTTATAACCTAAATTTCTGCAGAAATAGTGTTACGATTCTAAAAGAATTTGTAAAATCGATAGATATTTACAGAAATAAGTTATACAAGGTCAAACGAAGTCATTCGTAATAATATTATGGACGTCACAGTTTTCGGCGGCTTGTGGGCGTTAGAGTGGGCGGGGCTAGATGGAAGAAAAACAATTCGCATTGGGAGCATCATAAAATGATGCTCTCTCTTTTGAACTTGGTGGGTATAAGAGTGGGTGTGGCTGGATAATGGTACCACCATAAGATGCGCTGGTATCCCAAGATTATACATTCTGAATTTCAACTTTCTAGCTCAAATAGTTCCAGAGAATATAGCGATTTAGTTTTTCGTGATTTGTGGGCGTGGCAGGATGCGGAAACAAACTTGGGCTGGACTTGGACTTCTTGCTTAATCTCAACTTTGTTTCTGTTATAGTTCCTGAGATCTCAGCGTTCATACGGACAGACGGACAGACAGACGGGCATGGCTCAATCGTCTTCGCTATTGATACTGATCAAGAATATATATACTTTATAGGGTCGGAAACGCTTAATTTTTACTGTTACATACTTTTCATACTTTTCATTCAAGAAATAAAACCATTTACATTTATATATTCTTTTTTTAAAGATTTCTTTAACACTAACATGGGAGGTGATATGAACTTATAGTTCGCAGACGTCCCTAGAATTATAAGAATGTAGAACATTGAAACGTACAGACTTACAGACATGGTTAGAACGACTCGGATTAAGAATATGGTATATAGTAAGGTAGATTATACAAATGTGTCATAGGATGGAAAATTTTAGGTTTTCTGCATTTTGGCCAAAATAGTGTTCTTCACTGCTGGCAGTCGGCTATCCCCCAGCCTTAAAGTATGACTCGTGTTACTGAGATTTTTCACCACAAACATATTCAACTTTCGTTTCAACTTATAGTATGGGTTTTCAACGCTCACATGTTTGATAGAAAGCCGCAGAAAACTCAGTCAAACAAGAGAAATGCCGGAACTGAAACCTAGAACTGCCGACATGTAGCCTTACCCGACAACGCGCGTTTTACGTTAGACATCAACGAATACAACAATTCCAACAATTCCGCAAATCACGAACAAACGAGCAATCCGGGCAAAACTTTGGAAAAGTTGCATGCAATAAGTGCACTCAAGCCCACTGACCACCACACGGACTTAGCCACACTTGTACTCTCGGGGCCAATGAGAGAAGTTATAGATTGATTAACATTAGCGCTACATAGCTATTAGATTAAAAGGGTATATACGATTCGTTGAAAAGTATGTATCAGGTAGAAAGAAGTATCAATAGGGAAGTCGATTAGTCTAGTGTTTATCTATCGATTTACCAAAGATTTTTCAAATCGGAACATTATTTCGCTATTTATGAAGAAATATAGGTTATAAGGCCTCACGTGGGCAGTCACGTCCCCATCAGTTACTCAATATGCTTTTTCTGACAAAAGGTGCCGCTTTGTGAATTTTGTCTAGCTAAATTAATTATAGTCGCGGCACTCGACTATAGCTTCTTGTTTGGCGAACGTATTTTAATACTAGTGATATTGTCAAGAGCTCCAAACTAATAAATAACTTAAAGAAACCATTTTTAAAATATTTATTTTGCTCATAACTGATGGTGACCTAAATTTATTAATAAATCGCGAAACAATGTTCCGATTTGAAACATTTTTGGTAATTAGATGGATATTGACTAATTTAATATTTATTTATCTAAGGCTAGCAAATAGTTAAAAGTAAGGGCTAATATTTGGTTAGGAGCATAAGCAGCTTAGGCCTCCAGCTCAGCTAAAAGGGGAGGTACATATAATATGACGGATGTCTGTCTGGAAGATGTTACGCAATGGGCACAAGCTGTTCTTTGATTTGTCAAGGTAGTGCGAGTTTGCTAGGTATGAGAGTCTTCGTCTGAGACGGGTGATGATTTGTTCTCTTCTGTTTATGGAACACTACAGGTTGAGCATTTTTTGGTACCAGACGGAGGTTCGCAGTTATGTTTTCTTTTTAAGTAGGAATGATTTTAAAAGTGAGATATGTCGTTAGGGGTTAAGGGCAATTTGGCAATCCGTTTGGATGTAATGTCAGCTTTTTCATTACCTGTAATACCCATGTGACAGGGGATCCAGATGATCTTAATTTTTAAAAAGTGTTGGGTGATAAGATTATTAGGGTATGGTAGTGTGAATGGTTATTGTACTAGTTACTCGTAGAGTAAGAGGGTATATTAGATTCGTTGAAAAATATGTAACCGGTAGAAGGAAGCGTTTCCGACCCTATAAAGTACTTATTCTTGATCAGGATCAATAGCGAAGCCAATTAAGTCATGTCCGTCTGTCCGTCCGACCGTCCGTTCGTCCGTCCGTCTGCCCGTATGAACGCTAAGATCTCAGGAACTATAAGAGATAAAATGTTGAGATTAAGTATGAAGATTCTTGAGGTTCCTACGCAGCGCAAGTTTCAGCATCCTGCCACGCCCACTCTAACTCACACAAATCACGAAAAACTAAAATCTTTAAAATGTCAGGAAGTATTAGAGCAAGAAAGTTGAAATTAAGTATGTATAATCTTGAGATTCCAATGCATTTTATACCATAATTCGCCCACATCCACTCTTACGCCCACCAGGCGGTTTCCGCCTTTGTCTAGAAAAGTTGATATCTCATTATAAGTAATAGAAAGTTCGGATTAAGCATGTAGGTATTTATGATGCCCACTTTAACTCCCACAAAACCCGGAAACTGTGGCGTCCATAATATTATAGTGTATGTCTTTTTTTTGACCTTGTATAAAATATTTTTGTTAATATCTATCGATTTACCAAAAGTTTTTTCAGAACACTTTTTCGCTATTTATGAAGAAATATAGGTTATAGGGCCTCACGTGGGCAGTGAGGTAACTATCAGTTACTCAACATGCTTTCTTTGACAATAGGTTGCGCGTTGTGAATTTCCATTAGCAAAATGAATATTTTAAAATTGTGTAAAACAGTAACGGGTATCTTATAGTCGCGGCACTCGACTATATCGTTTCTTCTTGTTTTTGTAGTATACTTATTTATTAATTTTAATTGATTTATTTTTATTTTAGTTTTGTTTGCTTAAGCTTACATAATAGCATACATAACTTTCAATTTGGGTATTCGCAAAGTTTATTTTGCTAAATTACATTTGTTCAGTTGCCAAAACATTGACGCATTCCATGATTGCATTTGCATTTAATTTTTTACTGCATTTGCATTTGCCGCTTACATATTTGTTCAACATTTGTTTGCCAAACGGGCGACTTTTTATCGAACAACGAGCGAGTAAAAAATGTATTTCCATATCCATGCCTCACTCTGGTGGTATGCGGCAAATTAAACGCAAGCCAGAAAAATTGGAAATACATTTACTCAAGCTTCATTTAAGCATTTAATATAGTTGATTTCATTTTTGCGAGCGCAAAGAATCATTGGAGATGCCATTGGTAAAGGCAATCGTTTGCTGCGCATCAATCTGGTATCGAACCAACTTAAGGGATGATGGACGCCGGATTAAGGCACAGCAAGCAGCATTCAATAAGGATAAAACTAGTATTATGGTTAGGGTATAAATTCACTAAGTCACTTTTCAAAAACACGATCCGGAGTTGCATAAGAGGCTCTATCTTCACGGCAGAAGGCGCGGGTTGAACCGACCCATGAAAAGTATCATGCCCGTTGGGTTGTGGCGTACGAAGTAAAGGAAGGGTTTGTCGAAGCGCAGCCGGGGAGCGTCCGGGACACGAGCTTGTCGCGGACGGAGGGGCAACGGCAGCTCCAAGTACTTTGGATCCAGAAGATCGTCGTAGAAGCCCCGTCCTAGCGCCGACTCTTGCACCAAAGAACCAAAGTCTACAATTGTCTCCGACGAATCGAAGGCGTCGTCTTCGTTGGCGTCGACATCTTTGTTCCGCTTGCGCAGCGGAGGCGCCGGGTACATTTCCACGTGGTGGTTTTCGGAGATCTTCTCTTCACCGCAGGTGCTAAACGTGTTGATCTGGATCATGTCAGAAAGAAAGATGTCACGGTTTCCAGCACCAGTCAAACCCCTCAGGTCGGCAAAGTCAGACTTGAAGAGCCCGCGCAGACCCATTTTCTGCAGACCCAGAGAGGCATTAACGAAGGAGCGGTGAGAGAAGCGCGGCAACTGCACCTCCATGCCTGGTCGGTCCATCAGCGATGTGAGTAGCTTGCTCCAGGCTCGCGACTCTCCGAAAGCTGTCTCCACCAGGCTGCGCTCCAAGCGGTCCAGGTTGTCCATTGGCGAAATAGAGCTCTGATGGCCGGGCATTACGTATACCGTGCTAACTGAGTCCTGCACACGACCGAAGGCTACAATTGTGGCGTCCAGCTTGGGTTCATATCCCGCTGTGAAGCCGGAGCGGTAGACAACGGCAGAAATTGGCACGAGCCGGCGCTGGCGAACAGTGGGATGGACTTGGAAGAACATCTCTCCATCACGATCTGCGGTGGAGCCGTGGGAGCAGTCTGTCTGGAAGAGGTTGGCCGAGATGGTTGCTAGTGGCCCGTTTACCCATACGCTGTTCGTGCGCAGGTACTCAATAACCTTACCCTTCGTGTGCCGTTTGACTAGCAGGTTCGTGCGACGGCGTACGATGTCATTGACCACATGGAAGTTAACCTCCTCTACGTGTCCGGCGTACAATTGCTGAATCTTTTCCTTAAAAAAGGGAAGAATTTTTCCATTGGCACGGTCGCTAAAGATCTCCCGCACAAATGCGGTAGTCGCTATATCACTGTCCGTGGAATGTTCCACAGAGTTGGTTATGTTCTTAAAGATCAGATGCGGATTGAAGGTAATCATATCATCCAGCTTAAGGATCTCGTTCATCTCTCCAGATGTGCTTCCTCGGGCGCCGAGGAACACCATTGAAAGCATAGAAGTTAGGGCGAAAGGAGATATGACCAGACTTCTAGCAGAGCTGATCTTCTCCGAGGTAATGGCTCTCCAGTAGCTGAATGCCAGTTCATTGCAGAGCCGGGCGAAGGATTGCAGGTCCCCGTCTATCGCCGCGGTAGAGGCCTCCAGACCTTCTGAGGATTCCGGACTAGGGTCTAGCTTTACGGGTGGTCGTGTCGATTGCGTTGAGCTTGCCATGAGATTGGTCAGCAAGGGAGGTCGCTGGGTAGGTCGCTGCTGAGTCAGAGTGGATTGAAATTGACTGTGGGACGGAGCTTGTTGTTGAGGTGCTTCCGCTTTGTTGGTATTGTAAGGAAGAACCTTTGGTGGCTGCACATCAAGTTGGTTGTATCCACCTAACAGTGTGGGCTGAACGTAGTAGGAAACTGGCTTCAAAGTGTTTAAACGCTTCGTTGTGGGTGGAGAAGCTCTGGTAGACTTTGAAGTAGTTGTTGTTGGGGTTTCCATAGTAGTAGTGGGCCTTGTGGTTGTCATTTTGGTTGTTGTTGTTGTATTGCTTGGCAGAGAAAGAGGTATTTGGTATGCCACTTGATCTTCCTCGTCCTCTTCATCTGCCTGATCCACTGATTGATAGCTAGCCAAAGGCAATATCACCTTGTAGTTATTTTCATTAAGTTCAGCTCCGCTCTTATTATCACTGACTTCTTCGGAGTGAGAGTTAAGTGGTCTCACCACATTTGCTGTCGTTTCGCCTAGCTTTATATATGGATCCTCATCATCCAATTGCACTTTTTGGGCGGTCGTAACCGAATCCGCATCCTTATCGTCGTTTTCTTCTGAAATGGTAGCTGTGAGTTCGTCGGAAATCTCCTCCATTGATTCATCATCTAGTTGTTGGGACTGAACTGTGCTCACTTCGATTTTATCGGATACCTGCTCGGAGCTGAGCGACATGTCTGAATCCGAAGAAGCCAAGGACATATCTCCGGGTATTTCCGTAGCCAGCGCTTCTGCCTGTCCTTGTTCTCCGTTGCTCGGCGGCTGATATTGAGGCAGTAGTTGGGCGGCGTTGGTAGCACTGTCCTCCTCCGCAACTGCCATTTGGGCATCCTGCGGCTGATGTACCGTGTATTTATGCTCTACCGTTATACCTGCTTTCTCTTCTTCTTGTGCGTCTGGATAACCATTCGTCGTTTCTTCCTGCGCATACTGCTGTGTGGTTGGCACTGGCTCTTTCGGTGTGTTATGTATGAATTCAGGCTTTTCTTGAATATAATTTTTTTCCGTTTGCTGCTGTTCAATGTAGCTATTTGTCAAAAGCTCAGGCATATCCTCTTCACTTTCAGTATGCGTGTGGCTTTCGGAGATGTCGCTGTAACTGGTCGTTGACTCATGGCTGCCGGAAGCCTCCTCGCTGGAAGTGGTCTCCTGGCTGACCTCTTGTGCAGTCTGGCGGTCGAAGGTATAGGATTCAGTTTCTGGCTCGGTTGTGTCCACTAGTAAGGCTACAGTTGACGCACCATCATGAGCCCACACGGTTTCCTGCATTACTGGCTCTGGAGTGGGCTGCACTTCGAGTCGTTCATTGGCAAAAATTTGATGCTCCATATCTTCGACTTGCTGTTGCTGCGCATAAATCTGGGACAATGATAAAATAGGTATCTTATGAGTGCTCGTATAGGGGTTTTTCATCGTGGAAGGACTGGCTGTTGTTGTACTCTGCGTTGTCTCAAGCTCGTTCTGTTTTTGAGGCTCCGCCGCATTTTCTGGTTTTCCATGGAGCAAGAAAGAGGTATTCAGTTGAGCAAAACTGGTAAGGCGGTGTGAATCGTCTAACGGTTGGGCATTGGACGGGAAATTACTTTGATTGCCCTGAGTTATTTGTTGAATAACATCAGACATAAGGAATTCTAGCTCGTTCTTTGTCTCGTTTGAGTTTATCGGGATATTCGAGACAAGTGTGTTTGATCCATCCACTAAGGTGGAGGCTATGGTGGCTGCCTGTGTCTGGAAGTTGGCCATAGATATTTGGTCTGTGGGCTTAAGCATCTCGAGGTTGAGTTGCTGCACTAGGTCGGCGACCATGGGCGTTACTTCAGTACTGTCAATGTTGGCTGTGCTGCTCTCTGAGACTGGAAGTCTTACTATTTGTTCTGTGGTGCCTGGATTCTCCTCGAGATCTTGTTGATGTGAGTTATAGCCGGCGCTGGGATAAGGCTCGTTTATCTCTGGTATAGTATTGTAGAGAGACTCAATAACAGGATTTTCCGTGGTGACATCCAGTTCTTCCTGCGGTGACATCGGCGTCGTCACAAGAAACATTGTTTTACCAGGTAACTCTGTGGTCTCTGGCTCCTCTTGGGTCTGATCGGTCTTAATGGGCGGCAATGGTTCTGGCATCTTTGTCACCGTAAAGTACTGAGGTCTAGCAGTGATCACCACCACGGGTGTTTGCTCTTCGTCATCGTCCCCGAGACTGCTGAGCGTCGTCTCTTCTGGTTGCTCATGGACAGGAGTAGATTCTGTGGAGTCGGATACATCCTCCTCTAGGAGCATCGTGGCCAGTGTGCTTCCTCCATAAAGGGAAGTGATACGCTTGTTATTTGCCAAAATTGTGGCAGGCTTGGTGGAGGTTGTTGGTAGATGATTAACTGTAGGCGTCGTCGTTGTTGCTGGAGTAGTACTTGCGTTGATTTCAATTTTTTTTTTGTTGGCTACCGCTTCAATCTGCAGCTTGCTTTCTGCGCTATCGTACCTTACAGGTCCTGCTACGGTACCAAGTTCTGCTTTGTCTATGGCAGAAATGTCCTGTGTAAGCGACTGCACAATTCTATCCATAGAGAGGATCTGGGATGGTGAAAGTTGTGGAGCCGGCGATGGTGATTCGAGATGCAATTGCTGCTGAAGCTGCGCTAGGGAAGGTACTGGAGCTTTCTTGAACGGGATGTGATGCGTAGAAGGGTTGCTAAGTAATGTTGACTCATTTAGAGTTGTTACATAGTCGTAGCTTGGCAGCGGGTAGAACGGCATGTGGGTAGTGCTTGAGGAAGGAATCGCATTAACAAAGCCATAGCTTTCGGGTAATAGATCCTCAGCCACCTTACTGGAATCAGTTGTGGTACTGTGAACTGGCTTTGTGTGAATCCGGTTGTGGTGCTGGGATGGTGGACGGCTTGCGGGCCTATTTTGCAATTTCTGGTGGTGCAATGCAGGTGGTATCGCCGTAGTTTTTACAGGTGCTGCTGTTGTGGGGGCAGGGGAAGTTGTCGTTGATGCGTCTGTCGTTGTTATGGTTGAAGCCTCTGATAATGTTGTTGTCGTAGCCTCTGTTGATGTGGTAAAACTTGTCTGGTGCTCTGATCCTGGAGTGGTGGTGACTTGGCTCTCTGAAGGTTGTTCTGTAATTGGAGTCCCTGTCGGTGTGCTCACTGGACTTGTAGTAGAAGTTGTAATGGTCTCTTCTGCTACTGTGGTGGTAGTTGAAGTGGTTGTAGTTGGGGTTGTCGTAGTGGTTGTTGTAGGGGTTGTTGTAGTAGTTGTTGTACCTGTTGGCTTGGGCTTCTTGTGGGGCCTCTGTGGCCTGGGTGGCTTTTGAATACTCGCAATCTGAGGCTGTGGTACAGATCCAGCGAGTGCCGATTCACTCACATTCTGTATGAGTGGTTTTGGCTTAGACGTTGGCTTGCGTTTCGGCTTTGTTGGCTTGGAGCTCACACCAGTAAGAGCTGTACCCGGAGCTCGAGTCGGCTTCCGCTTCCTCTTTTTTTGTGTGGTCAAGGGCGGTGCTAGAGTGGTCGTGGTTGTACTTTCAACAGATAAAGGCTCCATTTGAATTGGTTGCTTTTTTTCGGTCTGTGGGACTGGTGTGGTTGTTGTTGTGGAGGTTGTCTTCTTCTTGACCTTCTGTTTTCCGCCAGACGCCTGGGATGTATTTTCGGCAGTAGCGCCGTCGTTAGGCTTCTTCACTCGATGAGGCTGAGTTGGCTTATGCTGCACACTCGCCGGCTTTTTGGCCAGCTGCTGAGTAAAAATAATCTCTGCGCTGGGGGGGGCACTGCTCGAAGAGGTGGCCGTATGAATAATCTGTTGGTTGTTATAAAAAACGCGACGGGTTGTTGTTTCTGGCCGTCCTGTAGTGATCGGCTGTTTCTGGTAGATGGGCTGCATATGAAGGTGCTCAAACTCCTGCATGTTCGCGGCCACCTGTTGGTATTGCTGTATGCCCGTGTACACTGTCTCCATGGGATCCAACTCCTCTTGCACCACCTGTGGAGTAATCTCAGTGGTGCTGGTAGTAGTGGAGGGATTGCGTTTAGTGTCCGGTTTTCTTTTAGCTGGTTTGGGTTTCTTTGTGGCTCGTGTTGTCTGAGGTGGCGCTCTGGTGGACGTCTCCAGTAGCTCGGAATCGGGAGTCATCACAATCTGTTGCGGACGCTGCTGTGGGAAGATATCACCTCCTGTGTTGCCGAAAATGGCAGGTAGGATGAGTGACCAGGAAGAGGAAACGTCTGGCGTATCCAAAAGAGGAGGAAGCAGCTCACCGGAGCTGTTTTTTGCCGAGCTGGAAGCAACCTCCTTGCTAAGCACACTTTGCACGCTGTCTACAATATCTTGGAGATTCTTGTCGGGATTGCCTTCAACTATCGGGACCGGATGGATGAACGACGGCCCCTCACCGTCGCCATTGGCAACAATGCTTTGAATCTCCTGCACAGTCATCAGTCGCTTGACCAGCTCGCCGTGCTCGTCAAATGTGTAGAATTCATAGCGGTCTGGATTAAGAAGGACGATTGGGCTCGCCACTTGCAAGGAAGGCTGTGGCTTGGGTACTTTGTGGCCAAGGGCATCCGTGAACTGCGGTTCATTTCCATTTAGAACTACGGATACCGGTGGCGTTGCTCTAAGAGGAGAGAAAATTGTAAAATTATTATAGTAGATTGTTACTAACGGTGAAAAAGTAAGATAAAAGTAAAATATTTAAAAGTCAGTCTTTAAATGTCACTTTACATCGTTTATAATAATTTATTTTTAAACAATTTATGTGTAGGAGTCTACTACGAGTAGGTACTATTTATTATTCTTTTTAATGTTCATATTTTTTTTCCTCCTAACAGTAATCTTAATTTGGTCATAAGAATCATAAATAAAAAGTACAATTTTAAATGTAATCCTTTTAAGGGGATGACGGAGTACGTCCCATTGTAATACAACGAGATTATTGTCGGTGCATACTGGGGTACTTATGTTCATTACAAAGTAATTTTCCCTGTGATCTTTCGCGTATCATCCAGTTGTCATATTTATAACTCTTTCTACTTTTCCTTCTCTACTTAAACCTCCTAATGGTTTGCATTGACTAGCCCATTAGCACTTTGGAACATGAACTTTATGTTAATGGCGCTTATAATTATAAATTGCTGCATTTCCCATCTAAGAATCTATTTATCTCAATAATGTTTTTTACAGACAGTATGTCTCCCCTAACAACGCAAGTCATGCTGCATAATTAGAGGCGCATATTTGGAATTTTAATGGAAAATGGGAACTATTCAATGGATGCAGAAAGTCACGCAGTCATCCGCAAATCATCCCATCGCCCACCACCATTTTACGCAGCTGCATATGTTTTACATGTGTTTGTTGCCGAGTCCTTGTGATATGAATATGGAAGTAATTCTGCGTGTGGCATGAGCACATCATTAACATTTAAGCACGTGAGTCAGATCGTGTTTAGTCATATGCCTCGTCATATGCAATCACATACTATAAACGTATATGCATATGCGCGGAGGAGGCAAATCCGTTCATGCAAAAATTAAGTGCAGCAATGTGTTGCACTGTGATGGAGGCAAAAATATTTGGAAAACTGTGTGCAGTGCACATTATCCTCTGGTTCTAGTCAATGTTTACTTATTCCGATTCGAGGGAAATATAAATGATTTATTGGCATCTTTCCATCTCATTTTTTAGGTAAACGATGCCAACCAAGTGACGCTGTATTGCGAGCAGTCGAAAAATGTTGGTTTTAGTTGCAATCCAGAGGCAATGCAGCACAATCAAAAATGTATGTAAATATCGCAGATGCGCCTGTCTGCAGTTGCATGTTGTTAGCAGGGATCCGTGAATCATCATCGTCGTTATCATCGTTGTCTACATCACAGGCTACCGCTCGCAGTTATTACCAAGAACAGCTGACGCAAGCTGTGAATTCGTTTAAGCGCAGATTTTTTGGAAACCTTGCTGGACACTTTTTAAACACTTTGGTGGCAGGAAGAAGGCAAAATATTCAAACCTTTCGTGTCACTAAAGTTGTTATTTTTATTTTTATCCGAATCGATTGTTGATAAACCGTTTAGCGCCCACTTTAAAAACACCGAGCCCACATTAAACCAATTGATTAGCATTGATTCGACGTTGATAGCCGCACAATTTAGTCGCTGTTTGCGGAATGCTTGCATCCCACCTTCGCCTACATACCACCTATAACCAACCCCAACTTAATGGGATTCCGAACGCGTGCCACAAAATATGCAAGGCTTTCCTGCTCACTCCAGCATGCTTTGTGGCCGCAAAGCAAATTAATTAAAAATACTAAGGCGAGTGGCCAGGCTGACCAACCCACGCTTTCAATCGGAACGGCGGCTACAGCTAAGCAGGAAATTCTATTTCAATTAGTGGCAAAAATTGCAAAAAGCTTTGCAAACAAAAGATTTTCCACAGCAGCAGCAACAGCTATAGAAGCCCCAAACAAAAGTAAGTAAGAATGGGCGTGTAAAGCAGGAAACCCTCTTACACAGAAAACAATAAGATTAAAAACAATATTATCTAGCTCACATTAATGTTGTTTAAGATTTCGTTGTTTCATGTTTTTTATCTCTCAGTATTAATTCGACTCTGTAAAATATTTAGCTCTATTATCTTTTTTAATTTTCTTTTTTTTTTTAAATTTTGTGAGCACGGAGTATATACTATATACATTAATAAAGTTTTAACAATAATGAAAAGTATATAATAATTAAATATTACGTTCAACATTTTTACTCTGCGGATTTCGTTAGTCACTCAGTAAAGTCGCAGTTAGTGTAAGTCAGTTAGCGATCCAAACCAGGTTGGGTACTCACATGGAAGTGTTAAATTTCTTTGGCGGCACAGTCTCCTTATTCCGGACATTGGATGGGAATACGGATGTTTTCAATGGTTGCTTAGAGACCTGCTCCTCTTCCGGAGGAGGTGAGTCATAGACGAATGCCGGTTGCAAGGAAAGGTTGGCGGACTGACTCCGCTGTCTGGATGTCGAAGAGGTCACATAGGTAAGCAGCGACTGCTGAGGTTGGTTGTTTGGATAGGCGAGGGTGCTGGAGCAGGCCAAGGTTAGCCACGACCAGGCACAGACCCAGAGAACGGGGGGTATGCGCGGTGTACGCATCGAGAAGCTCTGAATTCCTTGTGCTGAGCGAGAGTTTGTTTTTGGTTCACCCTCGGACCCCCCTCTTTAAATTGTTTTCCTCTCTCTTTTGCTTTAAGGGGGTCAAGTCCTTTGGCTCACTGAATCCGATTGGTTCTTACTGTCGAAGGATGCTGCATAAACACTAAACGAAAGCTGCAAAATTAAATAAAAACTAATTAATGCAACGTTAATGACGGCGAGCGAAAAGAATGCTGAAGAAAAATTAGCATAAGGCAGGGATATACTTTAAGGAACTTGCGCAACTTTAAGTGGCGCTGCAGGAGGTGCATTGTGGAATGCGGCTCCCTTTTAGGCCCTGTCATAATCAGGCGTTCTGGCAGCAGGCAAATTGCCAAGCACCTGAAACCTGGCACGCTAATGCGCCTGTAATTATGCTAATAATAACGAGCAGCCACATAAGGCGAGTGGGGGAAGTAATGCTATTGAATTTGGCGTCTTTGCTGTAAAGCATGCATTCAGTACCTTGGCCTAAGTGCTAGGCAATTTGATCTTAAGCACGGGGCTATGAAATACACCATCTTGTGCACTACAGAATGCATATAACACCAGATGGAAGTAGAGATTTTTAATAACTTAACTACGGTATGCATATAACACCATTTGGAAATAGAGATTGGTAATAACTTAAAAGAGCGGCATTCAAATTCAGTCAGGACAGACTGAGTTCCAGGACTTGTGGAAAATTATTTTTATATTTTTAGCTGAGCCGCATTTTTTGGTTTTTGATAGCTTTCTTCTTACGTTGTCGCAGTCTGTCACTTGTTATCAGTATCGCGAATCTGCGCAAATACTTGACAGCCATTTTGACAGTTTTCTTGTTCTGCGTTGTGGCACTAAGCCTCTTTTAAACGTGTTTGTTATTCTCTCTGGATGTATATATGTGTGTGTGCATATGTGATAACGCCAATGAAACGAGGAACAGCAGATTGGCAATATGTTAATAGGCACAATAGCCAACAGCAGTGGTAAAACCGAAGAATGTGCTGACAACTTAAAGCCAACACTGTCAAAATGTTAGCTAACAGAAACCATGTTTGGACCGCACACATTTCCACCCCTCCTCAACGACCCTTGTCCTTGTGAACAGGGCAGGACTTGCCCCATCACGTTCGGCGTACGCACATAGGTACTTCCGATGAAAAAATTCCACATACGTACACCAAATATATAAACAATTCCTGGCAAATGTGGAAAAAATCAGGCAACCAAGGCTTGGCCATAAAAATATTCCCGCTGACTGGTTGCCGACGGCATTTGCACTTTTGTCCTTTTTCGATTTTCTTTGTTTTATGGCCACAGGACAACGAAATGAATACAAGCATATCGACATAAATTTGGTGTTAAATATTTCGGCATAATGTTGTGCCTGCAGAGAGCATCAGCGGACTAAAAACAGCGATAATGGACTTGTCATGACTATAAGTTTGCTATTGATTCGTAACGGTAAATTACGATTGTCAACGGTGCAGGGTAGATAGATGGGGGAGGGCGAAGACGAAAACGGCCGACATTGAAATGTAAATAAAATTCCATGCCCAAGGATCTGCTTACCCTTTTTAAGCCGGCCCGAGAAGTTAACTGAGGTGAGGTGCCAGAACAGATTGCTCGGACTGCCATTGTCTGGGTCGACAATGATGCCGAGTGACATGACAAGTGGCCGACATGCACAAAGGGAACGTCGCACACAAGCATTAAAAGCTGAAGAAGTGCGCTTGTTCAGGACCCAATCTGCTTTAGTTTCAGCTTGAAGTCCGACCGAGATTGAACCTGACAGCTGTGGAGACAAGCAAACAAATGTAAATGAGATGAAAAGAGACCACACACGTTTGTTTAACACACGTTTGTTTAAACAAATCTCTCGCCCATTTCTATATATATTGGGGCGGGAAGAGCAAGGGAGGCCCAAAAAGCGTTCAATACGCGGATGGTGTATTGAGTGGAGGCTGTTTTCGGAGTTACCACCATCATAGAAGTGCGGCAGCATGGATGCTTTCGACAGTTCCAACATCTGGGATATATGGATTTTGGAAAAGTCGTTTAGTTTTCTTTCTTTTGGTAATTAGTTTCTGCGATAAATTTGCACTAAGGACCAAGGACTGATATAACGCAATTGTAAGCGCTGGAAAAATAGTTTTACATTACGTATCCTTTTTTCAGGTTCCTAGCAGCAAGATATCTGGGGATGGCAAGTGAGAGTTGTAAAAAGTTGAAAAGAGCTTACAACGTCCACAGCAACCGCCAAAAATGTTTTACCACATTGATTTCTTATTGGCCTTGCTGTTCTTGCACAGACAACATATCTTTTAATCAGTCAGTCATAACTAGTTTTGGCTAGAAAATTAAAAACTAAAAACGTCGCCATGTTTTAGTGAAGTTCGCGATATTTCGGAATTGCATAAGACGGTATCTTCTTTCATGGAGCGAGTACTCCTCGGTTCGATATATTAGTAATCTGTTGATACAAAGACCTACTTCGTTGGGGTTTTCTCTTCAGGAAGCGCAGCCAAGTGTTGGCCGACATTTTCACGCTGCTTTCGACTGGTGGAGCCAGAACTCCCCAAAGCCCACACTCTCGCACTTTCATGTTCCCGCTACACTAACAGAACTTTATCGCTTTGTTTCCGTTTCCGTTACGTTTCGTATACGCTCCAGAGTCCCTGAGCGCAGCGACCCGACGTTCATAAGATCTAATTTCACTCGCTGGCCCTGCCTTCTTCTAGCTTGAAAACTTTCCGTCTTATGCGCAAAACATTTGATTTTATTTATATTATTTCGATTTGCGCTTTTCGTTTACAACGCACCCACTAAGCACCATACGCTGGGCTGTTGTTCTTGCGTCCTGGTCGAGAAAACAATATCCTTCCTCATGGCCCACATTGGGCGAAAAAGTTAAAGTTCGATGTCTTTAAAGTGATTTATCGGCTGCGGGTTAAAGCTATTGTTGCCGGCATCTTGTTAGGAGGAGGTTCCAAATAAAAATATATATTTCAGATACTGAGATTAAAGTACAATAAAAAAAATTCTGGGCCTTGTTTCTTTGTCTCTTTTTTTTTTAATGACACATAAACATGAAGTTATTTTAGAAATTATAAATTAGCAAGAAAGTACCCAAATCATAGTGTGCTGCTGCCCAACAGCAATTTTACTGCTAACTGGCAATGGAGCACCCTTGGCCAGCTAATGTGCATTTTATTTTCCGCTCCCTCGGCCAAAGGAGTTCAGTCGATTCACTGCCACTGCCACTTCCGCACGTTAGAACCCGGCATGTGCATGACATATATTGTTTTGGAAAAGATTTCACACGCCCCAGGAGCTCGATATAATGTTCAGCATTCCATTCCCATCACGTGCATATCTCGCTATACCAATCTTCATTTGGCTGTGACTAGTTATCTTGCTGACTAGTCCTGGCCCCGAACGTTATTGTTTGGGGCGGATCGAATTTCGAGCTGCCCTAGGTGGACTGTATACTTACGCCTGAAAGACCCCACACAAAGGATAAGTTGGAATCTGTGGGATGTCTGCAACTTACACCGCACTTCAGCATAAAAAAAATCCCTTAGCCAGGGTTAAAAGCACTGTTTGCCTTTATAGTTTTTCAAGTTTTGGGGCTCGACAACAAATGCCTTGCCTCGCATTATTCGACTTCGTACGTGGTGCTCATCGAGCTTCAGATCTTTCTGTCATTGTAATCGCCTGAGCCTCAGTCTATTGAATGGCTCTATTCCGATTCGATTCGAGACCAGTATGTACACGTTTAAGTTGCTACTTTTCCCGGCCGCTATGCTGGCCAGATGTCTTGTTGACCCGCATCCCACTGTTCTGCTACTCTGACGTGCAGCTGGGACAAGTGCCAAAGTTATGGGGTCATGGCGTGAGCAGGATTAGGCCACATGTCGTGGTTCAGGGCCTGACTAGCGCTGTTAAATATATAAGTCTTTGGCATTAATTATCAGGGATTTGCCTTCATGCGACGTTTACGTGATTTGTAAGTGCAACCTACAACACTAGATCCAGTGGTGATGCAACTTTTCAGCCGCATTATGGTAAGCGACAGGCAAGTTTCTGAGTGCCACAATTTATCAAATGGCGCGTGCTCGCGGCGCATCGTATTTGCATTGGCATTTGTCGTGGCCATGAGTCACATTCCGCTCCTGATCCTGCGTATCAACGCCTTAATTAGTAACGTCAAAGTGACGCCACAATCAGCAATCGAAGCTTGCCGAAAAGATTTAAAGTGTGATTAAATACCTGCGAATTAAGCAGAGCTGCAAACAGAGCCTTGCTCCTTCCCTAATTATATGGATTCGAATAGATAAAGGCTTTAATGGGAGCGTCTGCAGAGACCGTGCGAAACGACAGAGTAATCCACATCAGGCCGCGCTTAATCCATTATCACATTTGTAATATATTTATTGCAGAGGGAAATAAAAAATTAATTATCCCTTAAAGCAGCCCTTCAGGTGCTCGCGGATGCTCGGTCGATAGTGCAAGGGTTAGCAACGAACGTGTCCTTCATGGACTCATTCCTTTGTATTCCACATGAGCAACCCTTTGCGCTTGGCCACTTAGTGCCGAAATAGGACATATGGAAATGACAGGGTCAGAGAATCCTGAAAAGGAAACGAATCTTCTCGCAAACACTTTGATTTGTCACAAATTTTACACAACAGCAATTTCTCAATTTATAATCAAAACAAGTGGGAAGGAGGTGGAGCGGATCCAAGGGTCCCTCGTGCCTGCCATCTGGCTGTGGCTGATAAGTATGAACATGGACCCCTGATGCGTTTCCATGCCGGTCCCTTTTGACTTACCACCTCTTATCCTTGGCACATTCAATCATCAACCATTCAAGCATTCATTCATTCATTACTCGACTTTATAGTCAACAAACTGTAAAAAAGCAGACCTTGAAAGGTGCACAAAATCCTTTTACTCCGCCCTGTACAAAAAGGCGCCGTACCCTTTCATGCCCAACTGCGTTTCTTCTGGTCAGTGTTGGTGGCTGCTATCACACTCCACTAAATCCAAGTGAGCCTGTAACGGTGTGTGTGAATGGATTACGCTCCATGAGTTAGTGTGGATCCAGAGGAACCCCTTTATGCTTATCCCGACCCATCCATCTTCTTTTT